CAGAGGTCATGTACAGTCTTTGTTTCGTTTTCAATTTCTTCATATACAATTCTATTGCTTCGTACATATTCTTCGTCCTAGACATACATTACAATTACTATTTCAAAATACAAAATAATAACAATCACAAATATTTTTATACATTTGCTTGTCATTTTCAAAAAAAAGGATTGTGTATTATCAGAGAATAGCAAAAATCGTCAAACCTCGCCGTGCTATGCTACCGTTCCATGGCGGGATGTAACGCCTGAAATCTCGGGTCTCTGATAAGAATAATTTCTCCCACTTAATGAAATGATCGCGAAATCTTCTATAATTCAGATCATCTAGTCATCGAATTAAAACTAAGATAGTAATCGTTCATAATCTTTCTTATGTGTAGATAATGATTCTATGATAAAAAATAAATAAGATAATAGTAGTAAAAATCAATGCAAGAAAATTTTTGAAAATATTATAATTATTCTTTATTTAATAGAATGATCGTATTCGAAAGATTTTACCAGATGGTGAATCATGGCTTCAAGAATTAGGATCTATTGTTCAACTTGTACTTACTCGAAATGATTCAACATGTATGAAAATAGCTGTTATTTGTCTAAATCTAACTATTAATGCTTTTATTAAATGGAGAAAGTAAATTTTATTTCATTAATTAAATAAATTAATAAATAATTCATTCATTCATTTCTTTGATTCATAGTGATAAAGTTCAAGCACCATTAAATATTTTATCGACTTATATTAATTTAGCTAATTATGTTCTTGGACCAGAATATATATCAATTTATGTGAAATATTGTTATTTAGATGCACTTGTTCTCTTAATTCAAACATTTATTGAATTGACGCCGGGTAAAAACGAAGAAAGAACAACAATTTTCTTCAGACTTCACTGCAATATAAACTTTGATTTTTTTATTTTTAGATATTGATCAACAACAATATGATTTAACACGTTATTCAACTGTTCTTATACATTTACTTGATTTTGTCGATTATTGTAATGATATTATTGATATTCATCCATCAACAACACCACAATATAAATGTGCTGTTAAAGTTAGTTGAACAAGAACAAGTGTCAATAAGTCCATTTTTTTTTGCCCACAATATTTTCAAAGAAAAACCAATTATACATTTGAAATCAACATTTACGTCCTGAGCAAGATGAGATAGCTTTACCTGTTGAAAAACGACTTTCATTTTTTACTTGTGGGGAACTCTTTAGGATCATTCAAAAAAAAACTTTTTTGAATTCTATTGAATGACATATTATCAGATGCAGAATTCAATGCTCATTTCGAATTTCAGGTCGAAATTTGAAAAGAGTGAATTTTGATTGAGAATAAATTCTGCATCTGATGATATATGATTCAATAGAATAAAAAAAGAAATTTTTTTTCGATGATCCTGAGAGTTTTCCACAGACGAAACTGTCTCATCTTACTTAGAATTTAATGCTGATTTCGAATATATAGTTGTTTCTTTAAGAATATTGCGGGCAAAAAATAGTCTGATCAATACTTGTCTTTTTTTATTTGAATATCTGTATGTTATGTATTGATCATAGGCATTAGTTCATACATTTCATTTATTATCGATATTTGTTTCGACAGAAGAATCAACAAATTTATCAGTAAATTTAAAACAAGAACGTACAGTAGCAAATGTTATTGATTTATTTCATAAAGTGTCACAAGTAAAAATCTATTTCTATGGAAAAAAAACAAACAAAATCTTCGGCATTTTTTTCTTCTTCTAGGAACGAGATAATTTTCGTGTATGTTATACAATATTAAGTTTTTTATATGAATTAACAAAAAAAAATGATAGTATTCAATGGTTTCATACAATGAATATTATTCCACGTACACTTCATACATTTCGTTTTATTATTCAACAACAAACAAATAGTTTGAATGAAGATGTAAGTAAATAAAAAGAAAAAAAAAACATTACATAAGAACTAAAATAATTCAAATTGATTCTAGCAAATTTCTCAAACAAATTGGTCCAAAGTAATACGTCTTTATTTACTTTTAAATATTTTTCTTATTCATTCGGAAATTATACATGGTGATTATCGACATTTTAATAATGCATCAGATGTATTTGCAGCTTGTAGTGAATATATTGTTGAAGTTAGTTAATAGAATTTTTGTTTTTTGCTTATTGATTTTATTTTATTTATTAGAGTTTTCATAATGTAACAAGACAATTTTCATTAGCATCATTGGATAATGCTGATGTATGTTGTCAATTTTTTGCATGTTTGACACAATTTTATAATCAATTAATGAGTAAACATCATAAAGAAGCGTGTATTTGTATTGTAAGAAAATTGAAAAATGAAGATTTCTTTTTTTGTTTTGTTTTTCATTTAATAATTGAAAATTTAGGCAGCAGTAAATTATCTTCTTCATGATTCAATTAATCTTCTTCTTCATTCTGCTCTTGTACACAATATGTTAACAGTAAGTAATTAATAAAAATCAATTGTTTTCACTTTTAGAAACATTTATTAATAAATTATTTAGAAAAAAGTTCGTTGTGCTTATCGATCAGAATTAGAAAATCAAGAAAATATTGTACCTGATTATTCAATATCACAATCAATTGTAATAGATCATTCACAATTATCTCAACGTTCTTTATTACGACCAACATCAACTTTTCTTAATCAATCAGTATCATCATCTCCTGCTAGTGCTCCTCCTGTAACACCAAGTGAAGGTACACCAAAACCACGATTAGTTAATGTTCGCCAGCAAGTTGCTGCTGCTTCTGCTCAACCAGCTAGTTCTCAAGCACCAGAATTTGAACAAGTTCAAGTCGGGTACAAAAGAAAGAAAAAACCAAACCATCCAAATTATAATATTCGATTTACTTTTCTTTTCTTTCTTTAGATTATTACGACTTTTATGTACTTGTTGTTGGGCACTTCATCCATGTACGATTCCATTAAATGAACTTAATGAATCTCTACTTTATAAACAAACAATTGATTATGATTCATATAAATATTTAGTTGAACCATTATTTAATACACCAACGTTAGAAAGACGCACAGCACCATCATTTGGTACTTGGCTTACTGGTGCTCAATATATTGTTACTCAAATGGAACGAGTATGTATCTGTCGTAGACTCGTCTAAGATTCGCCTTGGCCAAACTAGAATAAATTTGTCCAATTATACATTTGATTTTCACTATAAGGGTGATCTATGTTATAAGTGTACGAACTTTGGAGAAGATGATGAATGAGAGTTATATATTGTGCAGTACATGTAGATTGATATTCGAACAAAAGCAATAAAGTTGCATGTACTCATGAAATTATCGATAAGTGATAGACAACGAATATTTCGGTCGGCTAGTCTTCTGTACTTTATGAACTTGTTCATGCATAATTGGCTGATTTACATGAAATATCGATGGACACTGCATTAAAATTCTATGTTCGAGGCGCTGTCAACGATATTTATTGTTTAGGTAAAGGAAGATGTAAAAACAATCAAGTTTTCTACTTAACAAATTGTTAGAGATTATTTTTTCACTATGTTATGCCATTGGCTAAATGAGGATCAACTGTGGTTTGAGTTACTAATCATTCTATTCTAGTTTGGTCTAGGCGAATTTGAGATTGGCCTACGATATATCTATGAATAATTATAGAATTTTAATTATCATTCGAAATTTTTTATTCTTTAGTTTAGTCTTATAAAAAGTAATTCACCAAGACCAGCTCGTATAAAAGAAAGTGACCTTGAACGTTTAGTACAACAGAGGTTTGTATATAGGTCTTTTTTTTTGTAAATTTAAAACAGATACTAAATGATATTTTTACTTATTCTTTCTTTCTAGACCTTTTCTTGTGCTTGCACTTGAACATTTATTAAGTCTTATTCTTTCTCAAGTACCACTCTTTATGCGATCAACGTATCTTAGTGAAACACAAAAAAATATGATGAAACAAACATTATCACTTGAATTGGTATGTCAATATTATGAAATTAACTTATAAGATTAATAGATTCAATTATATAGAAAATTCGAAATTTTTGAAAGTTTTGCTTATTTTTTTTTTTGTTTTTATTATAGGATTACATCTTTTCGAATCTTAATCTAACTGAACGAACATCAAGTGCAAGTGGTGGTGGTAGTGATCCAAATTCTCAACGAACATCGGTTAATATACCAACACCGGGCACTGCTGGTGGTCCAACAAGTCATAAATCACTTGTCATGAGTGTATCGAATATGTCTCATCCGTCTGGATCAGTAGTACGTGAAGCTTATACACCGTTTTCTGTTGGTACAAATGTGACATGTTCTGGTGCATCTGAATATAATAATTCAACTCATTTGAAAGATGTTTGTACATCAATTTGGAAACTTTACAAACGTATTGTTCAAGCTGATCCACTTGTCTTTGTTGGTTAATAATTTAGAGAAAATAAACTTTTCTTTTTTTCTTTGTGTGTGTGTGTGTATTTGTGTAAAAAGTTGATAATAAATCATGATCATCAACGGTCAGATGACAAAAATAGACTACATTGAAATTTTTTTAGATGTCAGGTCCAATGTCAGCTTTTGCTCAATACTCTGAAGAAATATCATCGTCTCCTCAAAATGATTCAGTATTATCTGCATCACGTAAACGTAAACGTGTTTCAATGGCAAATACAAATGGTCATTTAAAAGATAAGAAAACAAATAAAAATCGATCAAAATCGTTGCAACCTGTATTATCAATTTCTGAAACAAATGGTCAATCAAAGATCATTGAACAATTAAATACAACGAAAAAATCAAAAAATTCTGAAACGAAATTTTTATCACCGGCTTATCCAACACCATATCCTCAACGTCGTGTCATTGTTTCAGGACCTCGTCATTCTCAAATTGATAAACCAACTTTAGAGGAAAACGGTGAAACAGATGAAGATGAAGATGATGAAGATGAAGTAAGAAATTAGTTTCTTTTATGAAATCTATAAAGATCATACTTGAAATCGATCGGATTTTTTTCGATTGGTCAGTTGAAATTCTTGATTTAACCGGCAAAAAATCTGTCCGTTTAATATATCAATTAACCAGTCAGTTTTTTCAAGAAACAGTCTATTACTTCAGTTTTACGAAGGAAATACGATATAAAACTTATATAAATCTTGGAATTTCTAATAGTAACAACTCCTATTTTAGTCTATCATGTTTCATATGTACTAATACATTAACAACGAACGAAAATTTCTTTCAAAATGTTTCATTTAGTAACTTACAGCAACTAATATTGAATAATATCTGTATTATGTTCTGACTGACTTTTCTCAATAATGATATGAATTTTTTTTTAAATTGATAAGTTTGATCCATTCTTATTTGAAATAATTATTTAATATAACTGAAAGGCATCTCAATTCTTAAAAGGATACTATTGTTGATAGAAAGATAAAGTGAGCTAAAACGGATGACTTTTATATTAGACTTCCTATTTTAAAACTTCGTACTATTTAAATGTTTCCACAATTACATGATGTTAGCATTTGGCAAGATCTTGACAATAGAACGAAATTTTTCTAATAGTTTGTAATGAAAATATAAACTGAAAATACTAGCTATTGGGATTTGATGAGAGTTGGTTAAAAGTAGTCCGTAAAAGTGCACTCGAAATTTTGAAGTAAAAAGTCTTTAATTTAGACTCAAATTAACTTTTATAATACTTGGCTAACTTTTTGTGAGTATAATAAATTTATTTAACATGATCCAAGACTCTCATCTTATAATGAGAAAGTGTTAGCTCAATAGTTAGAACTGGCATTTTGACGACGGCTAGAAATTTATCAGTTGGAAACTTCCAAGTCCATACCTCTTGATCATTAAAACTAGAAAAATCGTTGAAAACCAGCAAAATAGACCAGTTTTAGTGCTCCGAACAACTCCATAAAAAAAACTGATGAAAACTGGTCGATCTCAAGAGTTCGATCGGACCGGACCGGTAACTGACAGACTGGTCGGCCCGGTTCTAAGTATAATAATTAAGACGCATCGTACGTTTTTTGTACTATAGAATGAAGATGAATCACCTTTATCAGCCTGGCTTCATGACCATGTTCCAATTGCAGATAGTACTCTTCTTGGTGAACATTTATTTGGTTTACTCATTGATCCTATTCCAATTAAACAATTTATAAAACGAACATGGCAACGTGAAACATTACTTATTCAACGTAAACAACCAACATATTACAATGGACTTTTTTCGACAAGCGATATTGACGATATACTTCGAGACAATACACTTGAATATGGAGAAAATATTGATCTGACTTTTTATAATTCAGTAACATCTAAAAAAGAACGACATAATCCAGAAGGTTTGTTCGATAGATATTTAGTTAATTGTACAATAGAGCTAACATTTGATATTCATTTTTTCAAAAGGTCGTGCCCGTGCAGCTGTTGTCTGGGATGCATATAATGAAGGATGTTCTGTTCGTATTCTTAATCCTCATGCATATTCAACAAATATTTGGAAATTATTATCATGTCTTCAAGAATACTTTGGTTCACTGGTTGGTGCAAATACATATTTGACACCACCTGGTTCTCAAGGATTTGCACCTCATTATGGTATGAATGAATATGTCTACAGAATTATATTGTTAATTTATACATACGTATAATTTTATTTTTAGATGATATCGATGCATTTATTCTTCAACTCGAAGGAAAAAAACATTGGCGTGTTTATAAACCACTTAATGATGATGAAGTTTTACCAATAAAATCAAGTTTTGATTTAGATAAAAATATTATAGAGAATATTAAACCATGTATCGATGTTGTACTTGAAGCAGGTGATCTTCTTTATATGCCACGTGGTTATATTCATTATGGTTATACACTTGATGATGCTCATTCATTACATCTTACTGTTAGCTGTTATCAACAACAAACATGGGGAGATCTTTTCAAAATACTTTTGCCTAAAGCAGTAGATTATGGTCAGTTTTAAAAATATTTTCTAATATTATTTTTCATATTATTTTTATTATTAGCTGTGAAAACGAATGTTAAATTTCGTCAAGGTTTACCATTAGGTTATCTCAATCAGTTTGGCCTTATTCATAGTACAAAAAAATTATCTATGAAAAAACGTGCAAAATTTCATGCTAATTGTCATCGATTACTTGATGAATTACTTCGTGAAAGTGTTCCTATTCAAATGGATAATAGTGTTGATATAATGGCTCAAAAATTTATGCATGATGCATTACCACCAATATTAACAGCAGAAGAACAATTAACAACTATTCAAGAACAAGGTGAACGATGGAATAGTGATTTAAATCGTGTTAGTAGCGTTGTAGAACTTGAGCCTGATACTCGTATTCGTCTTTTACGTCGTCATTGTTTACGTGTTGTTGAACACGATCATAATGATGAAGATGACGAAGACAATATTGTCGCATATTATACAACAGATAATGCTCGAAATTATCATGATCGACCATTATCAACACTTGGTGTGGATAAAGAAACATTACCTGCACTTGAAATGCTCTTCATGATTTATCCAGAATATATTAGTATTGATTCTTTACCATTGGCAACAATCGAAGATAAAATCACTTTCGTATCAACTTTGTATGAAAAAGGACTTGTTCGAACAGAATATGAGCTTGAACATTCTGATGGAGAAGATGAGGAAGAAGATGAATCGGATAATGATGAAGAAGATGAATCGGATAGTGATGAAGAAGATGGACGTATGTTAATATCTTATTTCTAAAACAATTAGTTATTATTTTCTTTTAGTCGTTCTAAAACGTCAAAAAGTCCGCAACGAATCAACAGACGATGATGATGATGATGATGACGATGATGAAGATGAAGATGTCGATGATGATAATTAAATAACATAGTGATATGTCTTTCTAATTTTTTTTTCTTTCAATTCTTTGTCATTGTTACTGTTATAAAATAAAAAAAACAGCACAATACCTTATTCAAGAACGTGTATAATATTTTAAAAATCAGAATTTTAAACCAAACGTATCTTTCTATTAGTATGGATCTACTATGATGACAGATCAAGAAAAAAAACAGATGAAAAATAGAAATAATATTAATTATATTATATGCAATAGTATATCCTCTGTGTGATATTTTATTGCCATTGACAGTAAAGACAGGTGATAATATCATTGACAAATAATAGAGCTAATTGATAGAAAATCAAGTCATACGAAGCGTCGGCCTTTGAATGATTTTGATCAATATAAGCTACATCTATTCGATTGTCAATTCTTAAAATACTTGATTCTTTCTCCATCTACATCCATGACAATGTGTGAATTCATTTTAATTTCGATAGATACGATTGTGTCACTGGAGAGTATTTCACTCATCAAAAGATTTTCATAATTGGCAACATAATGTGTAAATAGTTTCTTAAGGGTGTGAATATAGGCGGGTGAAGAAACGATAAAGATCCACATCCACGCCCTTTTTAAGTTGTTTATATAGAGGATTTATTTGTATATGGATAATTTTAGTGAAGGTGTATGAAAGCAACGTATAAGTTCCAAATTGTAACTAAGTCTATCGCACACTTTTAGGATATAAACATATGTTCAAAAAATATTTAAATAAAACTGTTAGTGCAATCCTCACAGAATTAAATTGTGAAGCACGTTATAGCTGCTGTTGCTCATCATAGGAGATTACTTTATTCGATCTATTTTAGAATTTGATTTTTTCATCATTCTTTTACTTAATCCTTCGGATATGCTATAACGAAGTAGTTCATATTTTAGAACGAGGTGTCATTGACATACGGTCTTTGATCTTATATCAACAGCGTCTGTCACTGCCTGTAGGAGAGTGTGACCTTGTAGAAAAGACTCCAAATCCAGAATTGCTAAACAGCGAACTAAAGAATCATATGATCGATTCAACAATAACCAAATTACGACACAAGATATACTACGGAGACATTCTGTTTTTGTTGCGAATGAAAAATACAATAAAATTCAATCCGTTATAATAAAGTGAATTACGTTATTAACATTAT